TGTCTAGCTGGCATCGGTTAACAACCCCAACCGATTGGGAATCGGTTCCAACGAATTTTGGGCGCAAAATCGATTAACCAAAATGAAGAAAAACTGAAGAGGAAGAAGAAGGGGTGTTCGACAAATTGCCGAAAAGAGAGAAGGGAGAGAAAGAGAGAGAAACAACGCAAAATCTCGAGAGAGAGAGGGTTGAAGATCCCCTCACAAGTGTCCGGCGCCGCCATATACGGCGGAGTGCCGGCAAATCGTGAAGGAGCTGTGATCTTCCCCTCACTGCTTGAACCAGACAAAGATTACCGCGAAGATCTGAAAATCGGTCTCGACCGGTGTATCCAGACCTGTTCTGGCAAATCCAAAAGCCCTAGGAGGACGACTAAACATCAAGAAACAGCTCTCAGGTTGCCGATCAACTCGACAATCTCGTTTGAAGATTGAATGAAGCAAGTAAAGTCGGTCGAGAACCAGTTTTTTCAAAATTTTCCAGAATTCAATTTCAATCTTGATATGCATGTTTGTGTGTTTTCTTTCCCAATTTGAGTTCGTTGATGCTTTCTAACTATTTTCTACTCATTTTTGATGTGGTTTGAATGCATTTTGGGCATGAAAAACACATAAACTGAGTCGGCCCCCCATGTAAACCCCCTCGCCGGAGCTCCGATGACCTCGCCGGAGCATTGCCATGGCCTTAAGCCATTCAAGTTAGTGTTCTTTGACCTTTGTTTGATGATTTGATAGTTGTTAGAACCGATTTAGACGGCTAGGATGGCTAGTTTTAGAATTAGTGTTCTGGAAAATATTGTTTAGGTTAGTGTTGGGTTAGGATTTTCCTATCGGTTTTTCGCCGGCCGGCGAACGACCGGCGACGCTGTGATTGGACTAGATTGATACTCGAACGTATAGACATCACCTTGGTGCAATCAGAATGACCAAAAGGCTGCCAGAAGGTCGCCGGCGAAAGGTTCAAACCGGCGGCCTCGAAAACATTAAATACAAAATTCATGCCTACCAAGTGTTCGGGGAAATGCCCCAATGAAGAAGGCCAAAACGGTGCCGTTTTAGCACCGTGCCCGCCGGAATTCGACCCACTTTTGTGATCAATGAAATGGATGGTTGTTTCTCATTTCGTTTTAGTAAGTCTCACCCGGAACTGATCATTCTCGGGATACTGACCAATAGGAAATGGCTAACTAGGAAAATGATACGTGGACCCAAGAACTCGACCGTGAATCGAGCTCCGATTCCGAAGAATGACGAGGGAATATTTTGGGACAATGTGGGCTGATCCAAGGAGAGTGACGGATTTGGTTTGGCCAACGACGTACGATCGGACCGCGGGTGATTCCGTACGACCGAGAGTACGCGTGGCAAACAATCCCGAACTTATTCTGAACGATCGCGACCTCCGGAACTAGCAATAAATTCTCGCGTTCTCTTAGAAATCGAGACCGTCACGACTTGGGTATCCTAAGTCGATACGCGTAACCCCTAAACAGCCGCCCGTTAGTTAGAGACGCTAAAATCGCATTTGAGCGAAATTGATCGTGGAATTGAATCCGGACTTGAGTGTCGAATTTTTACGGACGTACGCGACTATTTTGCAAGGACAACGTCGTATAAGTGTGGCCAATCATATTTGGGATCGGGTTGGTCGAAAATTAGAATTTCAAACCGGGAACGGAAAATTACCGAATTGCCTCTAAGCCCTAATTGTTAATTCCGAATTTTAGAGGTTTTAATTGGTATTATTCAGCCTTATTAGTGCTGAAAATGTTGGTCAAGAGTACCCCCCATCTCCTTTGCTAATCCCCAAAGTGCCCTTGGATATTTTGAGCAAGATTGAATCTTGGCCATTAAAAGTGGATTGATTAGATTAGGCCTTGAATTGTGGCCCTTGGATCATCTTGTGAGTGGGGTGGGTAGGATAGACAATTTTAGTGGAGTTGGCCATCAACCCCCACTCACCATTTCCATCAAAAACCCTTGCAATCTCTCTCTCTCTCCTCTCATTCTCACCATTTCCCCCCCAACCGGCCACTCCCCCTCTCCATTCTCTCCCTCCTCCTCGGCCGCGTGAAGGCCAGTTCACCGGAGCGCCTCCGCCGCCGCTCACGCCGCCGCCGGCTGGTGCCACTTGCCGCCGCTGATCCTCATGATCAGCCCACGCCACCACCACCATCTGTCCGCCTCTCTCTCTCTCTTCCTTCTCATTTCGGCACCATCACCATCATCGTCGCCCCCTTCGCCGTGTGAGGTCAACCGAGAGCCGCCAGCCGTCCGCCACCGTGAGGACCGCCAGAGCGCTGCCGCGGAACCGGCTTGACCAGCCACCGTTCCACCCATTTCTTCCTTAGTTCGGCCACTTTTGGAGCTTCGAAAATTTGATGAGTACAAACCCTAAACCCTAATTAGGCTATTATGCATTTCTAGATAGATTTAGGGGTTAATTAGGGTATTTTAGGGGTTAGTTAGTGTCGGATGATTAGGGCTGACTTTGTGGCTATTTTGGTGGTTTAGTGTGATGATTTAAATGCGATTTGGTGGCCTAGAATGGGCTGATTGTTGGCTGATCATTGTGGACTTGGTTTGGGCAATTATGTGGATTAAAATGGGTGCAATGTGTGGGCTGAGTATTGGCTGATTTTGTGGTGATTTTAATGGCAAAATGTGATGATTTGGAAGTGAATTAGTGGCCTAAAGTGGACTGATTAGTGGCTGGCCATTGAGGATTTAATTGGACCTTGTTTGGCTAATTTGTGGTTTAATTGGGATTTGCCAAGTGTGCCTTCATTGTCCTAGTAGTGGCCGAATTGCATATGGTTTGTAATTGATTATGTTATGCAATGTTATGTGCTAGTGTGGCCATGAATTGAGGGTGCTTCGTGGGTCATGAACTTGTGCAAATTTTAATAGTTTGATTTTGTGATTTCGTATGCCAATTATGTACCATGGCAGATTTTATTGAATTGGTTAAATGGGCATGCTAATAAGTCGAATTGAGCATGTGGCTAAGTTAAATTGAATGCTCAATGTGGAATTTATGGATGCCCGAGTGTTGATTGTTATGGCCATGAGCTGTGCATATTAATCATTGGCATAACATGTGCATCATGTGAGTGTACACGATTGTCATCGAGCATGTGAACACCTAAATTGCCCTGATACATTTTACGCGGGGTTCAAATAATAATTGGTGGTATGTGTACGTGTGATCACATAAAACCATGATCGTCTTACGCGGGGTGTTGAACCCGTCCTGATGCATTTTACGTGGGACGATTCCCAGACTACTGGAAGATGGCCAACCTGATGCGTTTACGCGGGTTGTGTCATGAGCCTGATGCGTTTTACGCAAGCTGGAGATCGATCGAAATGTGATAGACCTGATGCGTTTTACGCGGGTCGGTGATAATTGGAAAGTTGGCACGTGTGCAAGTGAGTAGAAATGAGCATATGCATAGTGATGGCACGTGTGCAAGAGTGCATTAACAAGTGCAAGCATGTGCATGGCAAGTGTTTGTGGCCAATTGATATGTGCGTACGTACCATTGTTGGGCTAAGTGCAATTATTATTATGTGCCTAACCTGCAGGGTCAACATATGTTGGATTTGGGCCTGAGGGCCTAAGTCATTTGATTGCTTGATTGTGTGTTTGGTTAATACTTGTCAGGAGGTGTATGTTAGCCTAGTTTAGGTTTCGGAGGCCTACTCGCTGAGATTTATTCTCATTGTTGTTAAAATCCCATCTTTTCAGACCCCCGACCTTGAGATGGCAGGCGTGCCGATTCGTTTTGGGATCCCGTACCGCATAGAGCGGTCGGTGATCGAGTACCCCGTAGGAAACGGGGAGACTTATGTTAGACATTTTACCACTAGTTGGGTCGACGTGAGCGAGCTACAGTTCCAGGCTCATCAGTATCTGGGTTGGCGCTTCCGGGACCCGTTTGGAGTTTATGGGCCCCTTAGGACCTTTGATGTCCCGATCGTCGGGGTAAGCCAATGGGACCCGTAGGATATTGATGGAGAGGTAGCCAGCCCTGAGGCCATGTCCGAGGAGGATTCTGACCCCCGGCTGATCATCTTCGAGATGGATTCCGACCCCGAGGAGGAAGAGCTAATGGAGCGGAATCCTGACCCCGAGCTGGAGCCGATGGAGGTGGAGCCAGAGCTAGAGGCTAATTCCGAGGAGGAGCCGGTGGAGGCCGAGTCCGAGCCGGATTCTATGGATTCCGAGTCCGAGTCGTCTGATGATTCGTTCGAGTCCTCGGGATCCGACCCAAACTGGTTACCCTAGGGTTCACCCTTAACCGTAGTTAGGTAGGGCGGACACTTTTTGATAGGTGCCCTTCGTAGGTTTAGTATCCTGACCGCCCAAGCCACATTCCCCTTTTTGATGTTAATGGCTGTTGACCCATATTGATTTGTGTATATGGCTGTCAATGGATATTGTAGATCCCTGTTATTAATGCAAGTTGTATTTATTGCAATTATCGCTATCCTTGGTCATGTGGTTTTTATTTGTATGGGTGTTTGTTGCTTCCGCATGTGTAATACTCTCTGAGTTGGGTTTAGGGTCGGCGATGCGTCGTGGGACGTCGCACTAAATTCGACCGCTGTAGGGTTCGGGGCATGACATCCCCTGTTGATTTGGTATGAGAGGAAGGTCAGCTCGATCCGATACGGTAGAAGTCTGGAGTGATAAGGAGCGATGACCATGGGTAGCTAAATAGGGTGACTTGTGTGCTACGTGTACCTCCAGACTATTTAACTTGCTTGAATTGAGTGATTGTTGTGAATGACCCGTAAAGTGCAGGTGCGGCAGGACCCGAGGTAAGTACACACATTTCTTGGTTGAGGCTTCGTGCCGTTGTGATTGACTGCCTGCTATGTGATTGATTGTTATGATTCTTGCCTAGGACCTTAGACTGGTGTAGTTTGGCCTAGGTCTCTAATTCCTGAATGGAATTATAGCAGGTAGGTGAGTGGTGAGGAAAACCGTAGGGATGAGCAGAGGAATGGGGACAAGAGGTCAGTCGAGTCCAATGGGCCAAAAGGCGAGAGACCCAAGGCTTGATGAGGTCATTCGGACATTGCAAGGAATAGGGAATCTGATGGGAAGGCAGGCTCAAGAAAGGGCCGCCAATATTGCCCAAGCTGCTGAGGCTGCAGCAGCTGCTGCTATTAATGGGAACCAAGCTAATCAAGGGCAGGCACAGGTAGTTGGGAATAGACAAATGCATCAACTGGTAGAGTAGTTCATAAAGTTGAAGCCCCTTAAGTTTGATGGAAAAGGTGATCCTGAGGTTGCGTCACTTTCGGTAGAGGAATTGGAAAAAGACTTTTGAGGTATTGGGGTGCATGGATGAGGAGAATGTGACCTAGCAGTATACCAGCTACAAGGAAATGCAAGTGATTGGTGGAAAACCACTAGAGAAAGAGTGCTCCCTGCTGGTACCGCTCAGATTTGGATTGTGTTTGTTGAGGCCTCCAAAGGCAAGTACTTCCCTGAGAGTGTACAAGAACGGAAGTTGGCTGAATTTGTGAGGTTCCATCAAGGACAGATGATAGTGAACCAGTATGAAGCTAAGCTTGCTAGGTTATCCAAGTTTGCCCCAAAAATGGTAAAGGACCCATTGGATACGGCCCGGAGGTTCCGAGATGGATTGAAGCCGGACCTCCGTAGTCAAATGATATCGCTAAATCTGAGGGACTATAATGAGATTTATGATCGGGCCTAAGTAATTGAACATGATGTGATAGAAAGGGCTACCGCTTTTGTGATTGGTGATAGGGAAGAAAGGATAGACCTAGCAGTCCTAGCTATGTATGATTTTGATGTGATTGTGGGTATGGATTGGTTAATAAAGCAGAAAATCGTAATGGATGGTAGTAGCAGGGTGATCCAATTTAACCCGATTGGATATCCTAGATTGGAGTTTCAGGGAAACCGAGGAGGAACCTCGATCCCTTGGATTTCTTCGCTTGAGGTGACCAAGTTGTTGGATGAGGGTTGTGAAGGATATTTGGTGAATGTGGTTGATCCGACAGTTGCGGAGCTAAAATTTGAAGAGATACCAGTGCTGTGCAATTTTCCCGAACTCTTTCCTCAGGAATTGCCGGGTTTGCCACCAGAAAGAGAAGTGGAATTTGTGATCGAGTTGGCCTCAGGAACTGAGCCGATCTCGAAGGCACCGTATCGGATGTCCCTGTCGAAACTGAAGGAATTAAAGGTCCAAATGCAAGAATTATTGGACAAGAGATTCATCCGCCCAAGTGCATCTCCATGGGGAGCGCCGGTGCTATTTGTAAGGAAGAAGGATGGAACATTAAGGTTGTGTATCGACTACTGGCAGTTGAATCAGGTGACCATCAAGAATAAATACCCGCTGCCGAGAATTGACGACCTGTTTGATCAGTTGCAAGGAGCCTCTGTATTTTCTAAGATCGATCCACGGACAGGGTATCATCAATTGAGGATCAGGAAGGAGGATATTCCTAATACGGCCTTTAGGACGAGATATGGGCATTATGAGTTCACAGTGATTCTTTTCGGATTAACTAATGCCCCCGCTGCCTTCATGGATTTAATGAATCGGGTATTCAAGGAGTTTTTGGACTGATTTGTTATAGTCTTCATTGATGACATTTTGGTATACTCGAAGAGCCCGGAAAAGCATGAGGAGCATTTAAGTGAAGTACTACGGACCTTAAGAGAACACGCACTCTACACCAAGTTCAGTAAGTGCGAGTTCTGGCTCAACCGAGTGGCGTTCCTAGGACATATAATTTCCGGAGAAGAAATCTCCGTGGACCTGACTAAGATTGAGGCAGTGACTAAGTGGCCAAGGCCGACATCAGTAACGGAATTTTGGAGTTTCTTAGGATTGGCAAGATATTACCGGCATTTCGTAGAAAGATTCTCGTCAATAACCATGCCGATGACACGGTTGCTTAAGAAAGAGACGAAGTTTGAATGGACGGAAAAGTGCGAAGAGAGTTTTCAGGAATTGAAACAGAGATTAACGACTGCGCCAGTAATAACAATCCCTTCAGGACCAGGAGGATATGAGATTTATAGCGATGCTTCGCTGGGATGCGTGCTAATGCAACATGGAAGGGTGGTTGCTTATGCATCGCGTCAGTTAAAGCCTCATGAAATGAACTACCCGACTCACGACTTGGAGCTGGTAGCAATCATTTTTGCACTTAAGATTTGGAGGCACTATTAATGTGGAGAAAGGTTCCAGATTTACACGGATCATCAGAGTCTTAAGTACTTGTTTTCTCAAAAGGAGCTAAATATGAGACAGCGTCGTTGGATGGAGTTGCTGAAGGACTATGATTTTGACATTTTGTATCATCCCGGAAAAGCCAACCGGGTAGCGGATGCCTTAAGTCGGAAGTCGAGCATCGCCCAGTTAATAGTCAAAGAGTGGATCTTATTAGAAGGAGCGCGAGACTCAGAGTTTAAGTTCGAGGTAGGACACCTCTTTAGTTTGGTGGCGACGCTAAGGATTGAACTAGAGGTGCAAACCAAAATTAAGGCGTTGTAGTTTACGGACCCTGAGATTCAGAAGATTCTGGGGATGGACGGCACTAAGATTAAACCGGACTTCCAAGTGTCCGAGGAAGGAATTCTGAAGTTTCGAGGACGTTTGTGCGTGCACGACGATTTGGAGCTTAAGGAAGAGATTTTATCGGAAGCTCATAGAAGCAATTATAGCATTCACCCGGGCAGCATGAAGATATACCAGAACCTTCGACAGCATTACTGGTGGAATGGGATGAAAGTGGATGTGGCCAAGCATGTGGCGAAGTGTCTAATGTGCCAACAAATAAAGGCACAACATTGTAAACCTGGTGGAATGTTGTAGCCGTTGGAAATCCCAGAATGGAAATGGGAGCATATTACGATGGATTTTGTAACGGGATTACCGAGAAACCAGAGGGGACATGATTCTATTTGGGTGATAGTGGACAGACTGAGTAAGTCAGCGCACTTCTTGGCAGTGCGAAAGGACTTTGAGTTGGAAAGGTATGCGGAATTGTACGTGCGACAGATTGTCCGACTGCATGGGGTGCCAGTGACGATCACTTTGGACCGTGATCCCCAGTTTACTGCTAATTTTTGGAAAAGTCTGCAAGCGGCCTTAGGAACGAAGTTGCAGTTCAGTACGACCTATCATCCGCAGACGGATGGCCAGTCTGAAAGGACTATTCAGACTTTAGAGGATATGCTGAGAGTATGTGTGTTAGACTTTCAGGGCAAGTGGGAAGAACGGTTGCATTTGGTTGAATTTGCCTACAATAACAGTTTTCAGCAGAGTATTGGGATGGCACCGTTTGAAGCGCTTTATGGCAGAGCGTGTAGAACACCGTTATGCTAGGATGAAGTGGGAGAAAGAAGTATAACGGGACCAGAGTTAGTTCAACAGTTGGTGGATACGGTAAAGATTATCCGGGATAAGCTAAAGACAGCACAGAGCCGTCAAAAGAGTTATGCGGACCGAAGGCGTAGACCGTTGGAGTTTCAGGTTGGTGACCACGTATTCCTTAAGATCTCACCGATGAGAGGACTGTCTCGGTTTGGCAAGAAAGGAAAGCTGAGTCCAAGGTATATAGGCCCGTTCGAGATTTTAGAGAAGATTGGAACGTTGGCTTATCGTCTCGCCTTGCCGCCGAATTTGTCGCAAGTTCATAACGTCTTCCACGTGTCAATGTTAAGGAAGTACGAACCGGATCCGACCCACGTGCTAAATCATGAAGTAATACACGTGGACGACAGGGTGTCGTATGTGGAGAGACTGGTTCGAATCAAGGACAGGAAGGAGCAGGTTTTGAGGAACAAGACGATCCCGATGGTCAAAGTTGTTTGGGAGCATCATGGGACAGAAGGTACCACCTGGGAAAGCGAAGAAGTAATGCGACGTTAGCACCCCCATTTGTTTGAGTAGTCGGGTTTGAGTTGTAAATTTCGAGGACGAAATTTTTATAAGGGGAGAAGAATTGTAACATCCTGAATTCGATTCACTTTTGTGATCAATGAAATGGATGGTTGTTTCTCATTTCGTTTTAGTAAATCTCGTCCGGAACTGATCATTCTCGGGATACTGACCAATAGGGAATGGCTAACTAGGAAAATAGTACGTGGATCCAAGAACTCGACCGTGAATCGAGCTTCGATTCCGAAGAACGACGAGGGAATATTTTGGGCCAATGTAGGCCTATCCAAGGTGAGTGACGAATTTGGTTTGGCCAACGACATACGATCGGACCGCGGGTGATTCCACACGATCGAGAGTACGCGTGGCAAACAATCCCGAACTTATTCCGAACGATCGCGATCTCTGAAACTAGCGATAAATTTTTGCGTTCTCTTGGAAATCGAGACCGTCATGACTCGGGTATCCTAAGTCGATACGCGTAACCCCTAAACAGCCGCCCGTTAGTGAGAGACGCTAAAGTCGCATTTGAGCGAAATTGATCGTGGAATTGAATCCGGACTTGAGTGTCGAATTTCACGGACGTACGCGACTATTTTGCAAGGACAACTTCGTATAAGTGTGGCCAATCATATTTGGGATCGGGTTGATCGAAAATTGGAATTTCGGACCGGGAACGGAAAATTACCGAATTGCCCTAAGCCCTAAGTGTTAATTCCGAATTTTAGAGGTTTTAATTGGTATTATTCAGCCCTATTAGTGCTGAAAATGTTGGTCAAGAGTACCCCCCATCTCCTTTGCTAATCCCCAAAGTGCCCTTGGATATTTTGAGCAAGATTGAATCTTGGCCATTGAAAGTGGATTGATTAGATTAGGCCTTGAATTGTGACCCTTGAATCATTTTGTGAGTGGGGTGGGTAGGATAGACAATTTTAGTGGAGTTGGCCACCAACCCCCACTCACCATTTCCATCAAAAACCCTTGCAATCTCTCTCTCTCCTCTCATTCTCACCATTTCCCCCCCAACCGGCCACTCCCCCTCTCCATTCTCTACCTCCTCCTCGGCCGCGTGAAGGCCAGCTCGCCGAAGCGCCATCGCCGCCACTCACGCCGACGCCGGCCGGTGCCACTCCCCGCCGCCGATCCTCACAATCAGCCCACGCCACCACCACCATCCATCCGCCTCTCTCTCTTTCTTCCTTCTCATTTCGGCACCATCATCATCACCATCACCGTCGCCCCCTTCGCCGTGTGAGGTCAACCGAGAGCCGCCAGCCGTCCGCCGTCGTGAGGACCGCCGGAGCGCCACCGCGGAACCGGCTTGACCAGCCACCGTTCCACCCATTTCTTCCTTAGTTCGGCCACTTTTGGAGCTTAGGAAATTTGGTGAGTACAAACCCTAAACCCTAATTAGGCTATTATGCATTTCTAGATAGATTTAGGGGTTAATTAGGGTATTTTAGGGGTTAGTTAGTGTCGGATGATTAGGGCTGACTTTGTGGCTATTTTGGTGGTTTAGTGTGATGATTTAAATGCGATTTGGTGGCCTAGAATGGGCTAATTGTTGGCTGATCATTGTGGACTTGGTTTGGGCAATTATGTGGATTAAAATGGGTGCAATGTGTGGGCTGAGTATTGGCTGATTTTGTGGTGATTTTAATGGCAAAATGTGATGATTTGGAAGTGAATTAGTGGACTGATTAGTGGCTGGCCATTGAGGATTTAATTGGACATTGTTTGGCTAATTTGTGGTTTAATTGGGATTTGCCAAGTGTGCCTTCATTGTCCTAGTAGTG